AGTCCAATCAAAGGGTAACCTCGGGAAAGCAGGCCTGGATGGAGACTATCTTATTGTCATTGTTAGTTGCTATCAAGTTGGCTCTGCCTCACAGCAACCCCATGTACATATTAAAATTGCTCCAGGGTTTTCAAGGCTGTGAACTTTGAGAAGCAGATCAGTAGGTCTTTCTTCAGAGGCATCTCTGAATGGGTACGAACCACCAGCCTTTTGGCTAGTAGAATGCTTAACTGTCTGTTAAGCTCCACCCAGGGACTCTTAGGCTATAACTTTTGTAGTTAGGTGTTGTTGAATCTGTTCTGGCTCATAGTGACCCTACATACAGAAAAACCAAACTCACTGCCATAGAGTCAATTCCAAGTCATAGCGACTTCCATAGGATTTCCAAGGCTGTAAATCTTTATGGAAGCAGACTGCCCCATCTTCCACGGAGCAGCTGGTGGGTTCAAACCACCAACCTTTTGGTTAGCAGCCAAATACCTTAACCACTATACCACCAGAAGTCTTAGTGACCCTATATTAAAAATAAATAAATAAATAAGAAAAAACCAAACTCACTGCTGATGAGTCAATTCCAACTCACAGCAACCCTTCCTGGGTTTCTGAGGCAGTATCTCTGCAGAAGTAGATTGCCCAGTCTTCCTTCTGAGGAGTGGCTGGTGGGTTTGAACAGCAACCTTCTGGTTAGCAGTCAAATGCCTTAGGCACTGTGCCACCAGAGCTCCAACAGAATAAAACACTACCAAGTACTGCACCATCCTCACAATCATTACTATGTTTGTTGCATTGTTGCAAGCACTGTGTCAATCCATCTCATTAGGGGTTACTTAGACTTAATCATTTAGACTGTAACTGTTGTTGTTGTTATGTGCCATCAAGTCAGACCTGACTCATAGCGATCCCTCTTTGGGTTTCCGAGGCAGTATCACTAGGGAAGTAGATTGCCCAACCTTCCTTCTGAGGAGTGGCTGGTGGGTTTGAACTGCCAGCCTTCTGGTTCGCCGTCAATTGCCTTAGGCACTATGCTACCAGAGCTCCTGAGACTATAACTAAGAGAGCAAAAATCAAATCCATGGTACTGGGCCCATCTGAAGAAGAATGTGGCTGCAGCTGGGGGTGGCCTTTATGGGATCTAGGAAATGGGTCAGGTGAAAGAATTGTAAGCTATTTAATCATTGCTCCCTCTAGGGAGATAGACATGTTGCAGCTATGAGCATTCTGTTGTAATCTCTCAATCAGCAGCCCCAAATGGCTGCAATGTCAAGTGTATAATAACATTGAACTCACATTCACTCTCTATATACCAAAGATGGGTGGAGAGAGGGACTTCTTATGTCAGTGGATGGAGGAATATGTTTGTGCCTATACTATGATTGTGCTACAATCTATCTTGGATTAAGCCCAGACCAACGGCATGGACAGACGATGTGTTGTTCTGATGGGAAGAAATGAATGAATCCTATGAAACTTGTATTGATGGTAAGGGTGCGGTTGAGATGTTGTTCACTTTATCACACCATTTCCAAACCATGGGGACCAGAGAACTCTCTCCTGGTCTCAGGAAAAGAAATGGATGTGCTTCTCTGGAAACACTGATCCCTCTTTACTTTATGGACATTGGGAGCTATGTAATGATTGTATTGGCTTCTGGTGATCTTAGTTCAAATTTGCACCACTCTCCCAACCCCAGCATGATATTTATTCCAAACTCACTCTTGATTTTATCTAATCTTTCCTTCCTCCTTCCCTTCTTTTCTTCTATTTATCTGATTTTTTGAACTCTTCATTTGTTCTAGTTGCTATTTTTTATTATATTGTATTGCTTTTAAACTATCTTAGAATGTTGTAGTTGTTGTTTTGTGCCTTTGAGTTGGACCCGACTCATAGCGACCTCTCCTTGGGTTTCTGAGGCAGTATCACTACGGAAGTAGATTGCCCCATCTTCCTTCTGAGGAGTGGCTGGTGGGTTTAAACTGCCAAGTTACTGTCAACTCCTACTCATGGAGACCCCGTGTGTATCAGACTAGAACTGTGCTCCATCAGGATTTCCATGGCTGACTTTTCAGAAGTAGGTAGTTAGCCTTTCTTTCAAGGTGCCTCTGAGTGGACTCAAACTTCCAACCTTTTAATTAGCCACCGAGAGCTTAACCATTTGTGCTACCCAGGAACTCCTTGTCTTAAACCACCCACTGCCATCAAGTCCATTCCGACTCATAGCAACCCCCATGAGGTTTCCAAGGCTCTAAATCTTTACAGAAGTAGATTGCGTCATCTTCCTCCCACTAAGCAGCTGGTGGGTTTGAACCACTGACCTCTGGTTAGCAGCCAAATGCCTTACCCACTATGCCACCAAAGCTCCTTATCTATGTTATCTTAGATAACATTTAAAACAAGGCTGGTATATATTAATGCAGTGTTTTATTATAGGACAGGGTTCCACTGTGACTTGGATGAAATGTTGATTCCTTGGTCACTAAGCAATGTTCTGATTACTATTAGGCTTTCACTTCCAGGTGTCCAGAGCCTAGGAAGTGGGCACCCTGGATACTGGATAAGAGTATTCCTGTCTTTGGAGTGGAATGGCCCTTTAACTGGTGATCGAATCTGTCCCTGGGAATGGGGATGGCTCCAGAGCTCAGAAAGAGCTGCATAGGGCAAGCAAGATACACAGTGTAGCCACTCCCTTGCTCCACTGGGTACAGCGTAAGTCCATTTGTAATGGACATCAAAGACTACTCTCCAGAGACCAGGGAAAGGAGCCAGCACTAAGGAGAGACTCACAGTACTGGGCAGTTTATTGTATGAGTGTATTTGTTTCTGGCAGTAGGAGCTGTTGATCTTGAGAAGATTAGAGAGATGAAGTTTTCTTCGTTTGGAAAATAAGGAGACTCATACCACTTCCTTGTATGGATTAAACCAGGTGATTCATGGAAATAATATAGCACAGCTGCTATGACGATTGCCATTCCTATTACTGATGAGACTATAATTATTAATTATCCTCACTACATTTTTTGTGAGGTAGGCATGGTCAGAATTGACTCCATGGTAGTGGGGTGGAGTTGTTGTTGTTATGTGCCGTCAAGTCGGACCCGACTCATAGCGACCCCTCCTTGGATTTCCGAGGTAGTATCACTACGAAAGTAGATTGTCCCATCTTCCTTCCGAGGAGTGGCTGGTGGGTTTGAACCACCAGTCTTCTGGTTAGCAGTCAAGTGTCTTAGAGCTCCTTGTTGTTGTTGTTGTTATATGCAGTCGAGTCGACCCCGACTCATAGCGACCCCTCCTTGGGTTTCCGAGGCAGTATCACTCCTTGTTGTGTTGTTATATGCCGTCGAGTCGGCCCCGACTCATAGCGACCCCTCCTTGGGTTTCCGAGGCAGTATCACTACGGAAGTAGGATTGCCCAACCTTCCTTCCGAGGAGGTAGAGCTCCTTAGGTATGGTTAATTGCATTTTAAAGAGAGAAAATGGAAGAAACCCACGCTCTAGTCACACCACAGATTTCCACTAGAGGGCAGACTGGGAAAGGAGATTTGGTGATCATAGTTTGTCTCTGTAAGCAGGAGACGACATCAACATTAGGGAATAATAACAAATATTTTTGCTCTGATTGAACATATGTGAGCCTAGAGATTTAAAAGCTCCAGCCAGCGCTCCACCTCCTCCCTGCTCTGCTCCCGAAGTCACTGGTTAGCCCCAGGTTACTTGTCATAACTCCTTTTCTCTATGACTTTGCTCACGCTGACCTTAAATTCATCCCCCATCATTTATTTGGTCTTTATTCAAGTGGAGAAATTAGAGGGTGGGGGACAACTCTAATTCCAGCCCATACTCTGAGATTTAAGGACTGCATTTCCTCCACCCTCTGATTTCTCCACTTGAATAGAGACCAAATATAAACAAAAAGCACAACAACAACAACAAAAGAAACAGTTGCCATAATGTCACCCCATGTCTGTCAGAGTATAATTGTAGTCCTTAAAGTTTTCTGTGACAGATTTTTTTGGAAGATTTCCAAGACTTTCTTCCAAGGTGCTTTGGGTGGACTCAAACCTTCAACCTTTTGGTTAGCAGCTGAGCTTGTTAACAGTTTGCATCACCCAGGGATTCCATATGAGAGACCAAAAAGCAAAACCATACCTCCTGCTGTGGAATTGATTCCAACTCATGGCGACCCCATGTATTATGGAGTAGAACTGCAAATGAGAGACAGCAAACTGAAAACCTCCTGGGACAGCTGACTTCTCCTTGAGGCAAAACAGCAACAAATGACATTCACCTTTCACTTTCTGCTTACCCACTTTTCCTCAGTGGGTAAGGCATTTGACTGCTAACCAGAAGGTGAGCAGTTCAAACCTGCCAGCTGCTCCATGGGAGGAGAATGAAGCAATCTACTTCTGCAAAGATTTATAGTCTTGGAAACCTTACAGTGATCACTATGAGTCTGAACCGACTTGATGGCAGTGTTTTTTTTTTTTCTTTCCCTCCACTTTTGCAACACTTTAGATGGATCCATTAATCCATTACCTCATTTGATTTTCATGACAGGAATTATGGTGATAGACTACCATGCCTATCAAGTCAATGCCGCCTGCCTGGATACTTCACCATGCACAGATTTACAGGAGTACTCAAGGAGGTGGGGGCTGGGCAAGACCAATAGGGCAGCCCTAAACCCTAATCCCAAGGGTTTGGGGAAGGAGAGGCGCCTTTTTCCCAGGCATAGTAAAGGCAGCACTGAATTATAAAAAGTTAACACTTGGTGATAACATGGGTTGGGGGTTGAAACCCAGCAACAAAGCAGACTTCCTGAGTCCCAGCTACCTCCTGGATTTTTTCCCAAAATAAATTTGTCTCCAAAATCAAAGAAGTGACAAACAGCAGCTGCTGCTGCCCCTACCCAGGAAGCTTTTTTTCTTTTTTTTTCCTGGTCGTCTCTAGACAAGGCATGTGGAACAGAGCTGAGAATCTCAAGATGGGAAGGACCTGGCAACAGCTCAAGGAGTGGGCTGGACACTGAGTTTCACATTTTCATCTTCACAGGTCTCTTCCTTCTTGTTTTTTGTTAGCATTTCTGCTGCTTTTCTTTCTTCTTGAGAAAGCCACTGGATAGCCTTTAACTGTTAATGGAAGTTTTGGGAAATATCTCTTATGAATATGTTAACAGTTCAGGAACTGCTTGAGCAATGCTTTCTATGTGGGCCAGAACTGGCTAGAACCTGCCTCACCAGGACTTGCAGATGCAGAAACCCTTGCTCTTGCCCTGGAGATGACCTAGTGACTTGTCCCATGTGAAAATTCCCCACCCGAGCACATTAAGGCCACTGTGGTAGTTAAGTTTGTGTGTCAACTTGACTGGGCCTGGTTGAGTGGCTGGGCAGCTGGATGTAGTGTTCCATCCAGTTGATTACCAGTAATCAACTTCATGGTGGGATCTACTATAAGCAGCTGAGTAGCTGCCTTATAGATATGGTCTGCTTCCTGTATATATGTAGAAGCCTTGGGGATAGTCTCTAGCTTATGGCATGCTTGAACCCTGCATGTAGCCGTGTCATCATTCAGCAGCCTGCCATGCTCTGCCGAGCTTGGGACTTTTAATGGATTTGAATTAATGGCCTGCTGTGTGGTTTGGTAACATCGGGACTATGCCTTTTTACTTATCAACCTTGGGCTTGTCAGTCTCAGCAGCTAGCAGCTGTGTGAGTGAAGAAAAACCTCCAGCTTCAGTGGGCTGGGAGCAGAAGGCAGAGCTGAGGTCCAAGGTTGAGGGTCTTTCACCTAGGCCCTAGAGCCTGGCACTTTGAACTTGGACTTAAAGCCTCCAAACTGTAAGAATAAACTTCTGTTTCTTCAAGCCATCCCATTTGTGCTATTTTCTGTTAGAGCGGCACAGAGGTAACCAAAACAACCACCATTTTTTGAACATGGGGCATATGTGCAAGCATAATGGCTGTGTGCACACGCTCTGCCCTTATTCCAACCCGATCTGTAGTCATGACCCGTTCCCAGAAATGCCCTGAATATTCATAACTTCCCCATTTGCTTCCTGCTTAAAAGCAAAAGCAAGCTGAAGCCTGCTTGAATTCCCTTGGCAGCAGTCCCAAGTGTGCCTTTCTATTGGTCTTCAGAATAAACATCTTTCTTTGCCTCAACCTGAGTCTATGATTCTGTAAGCCACCCAGAACAGAACCTGGACTAGCATTAGCTGTTGCTATTGTTACTAGGTGCCATGGAGTCGTCTCCGACTCGTCATGACCCTGTGTAAAACAGAACAAAACACTGCTTGATGATGGCGCCATCCTCATAATTCTTGCTACACATGAGCCCATTGTTGCAGCCACTGTGTCAGTCCATCCTATTGAGGGTCTTCCTTTTTTTTTTATTGACCCTCTTCTTTACCAGGGAGCTCTGGTGGCATAGTGCCTAAGGCATTTGACTGCTAACCAGAAGGCTGGTGGTTCAAATCCACCAGCCATTCCTTGGAAGGAAGGTTGGGCAATCTACTTCTGTAGGGATACTGCCTCAGAAACCCAAGGAGGGATCACTATGAGTTGGACCTGACTCAATGACAGTGAGTTTGTTTTTTTTTGGTTTTTATCCTTTACCAAGCATGATATCTTTCTCCAGGGAAAGCTCCATTCTGATCACATAACCAAAGTAGGTGAGACTAAGTCTGGCCATTCTCCTTTCCAAGGAGCATTCCGGCTGTACTTCTTCCAGGACAGATTTTTCATACTTCTGGCAGTTCATGGTGTTCTCAATATTCTTCACCAACACCACAAGTCAAAGGCATCAGCTCTTCTTTGGTCTTCCTTATTCATTGTTTAGCTTTTACTTGCATCTGAGATGATTGAAAATGCCATGGCTTGGATTAGGCATACCTTAGCTTTCAAAGTGACATCTTTGCTTTTTAACATTTTAAAGAGGTCTTTTGCAGCAGATTTGTCCAAGAAATACAACGTCTGATTTCTTGACTGCTGCTTCCATGGGTATTGATTGTGGATCCAAGTAATATGAAATCTTTGACAACTTCCATCTTTTTTCCATTTATCATGATGTTATTTATTGGTCCAGTTGTAAGGATTTGTGTTTTCTTTGTGTTGAGGTGTAATCCATACTGAAGACTGCAGTCTTTAATCTTCATTAGTAAGTGCTTCAAGTCATCTTCACTTTCAACAAGCAAGTCTGTATTGTCTGCATATTGTAGTTTGCTAATGAGGTGTCCTCCAATCCTGATGCTGCATTCTTCTTCCTATAGTCCAGCTTCTCAGATTATTTGCTCAGCATACAGATTGAATAAGTATGGTGAAAGGATACAATCCTGAAAAACACCTTTCCTGATTTTAAACTGTTCAGTATTCCCTTGTTCTGTTTGATTGATAGCCTCTTGGTCTATTTTTAGGTTCCTCATGAACACAATTAAGTTGTTCTGGAATTCCCATTCTTTGTAATGTTATCCATACATTGTTATCATGCACACAGTCAAATGCCTTTGCATAGCCAACAAAACACAGGTAGAAATCTTTCTGGTATTCTTTGCTTTTTAGCCAAGGTCCATCTGATATCTGCAATGATACCCGTCATCCCATGTCCTCTTCAGAATCCAGCTTGAATTTCTGGAAGTTTAATGTCAATGTACTGCTGCAAACATTTTTGAATTATCTTCAATAAAATTTTACTTGTGTGTGATATTAATGCTATTGTTCAATAATTTCCACATTCTGTTGGATCACCTTACTTTGGAATGGGCACAAATATGGATCTCTTCATCAGTTGGCCAGGTAGCAGTCTTCCAGTTTCTTGGCATAAACGAGTAAGCGCCTCCAGTGCTGCATCTGTTTGCTGAAACATCTCAATGGGTATTTTGTCAGTTCCTGGAGCCTTGTTATTTGCCAATTCCTTCAGTGCTATTTGGACTTTTTCCTTCAATATCATTGGTTCTTTGTCTTATACTACCTCCTGAAATAGTTGAACATTGACCAGTTCTTTTTGGTACAATGACTCTGTGTGTTCTCCATCTTCTTTTGATGCTTCCTGTATCATCCAGTATTTTACCCATAGAATCCTTCAATACTGCAACTCTAGGCTTAATTTTTTTCTTCAGTTCTTTCAGCTTGAGAAATGCTGAGTATGTTTTTCCCTTTTGGTTTTCTAACTCCAGGTCTTTGCATATTTCATTATAACACTTTACTTTGTCTTCTTGAGCTGCCCTTTGAAATCTTCTGTCCAGCTCTTTTATTTCATCATTGCTTCCATTTTCTTTAGCTACTCTCCTAAGGCACTTGACTGCTAACCAGAAGGCTGACAGTTCAAACCCACCAGCCACTTCTCGGAAGGAAGATGGGGCAATCTACTTCTGTAGTGATACTGCCTCAGAAACCCAAGGAGGGGTCGCTATGAGTTGGGTCCAACTTGACGGCACATAACAACAACAACATCACTCTCCATTCAAAAGCAATTTTCAGAGTGTCTTCTGACATCTATTTTGGCCTTATCTTCCTTTGCTGTCTTTTTTTGTTTGTTCTTACCATTGTGAGCCATAGGTTTTCAGAGGCTTATTTTAGAAAGTGTATAACTAGACCTTCTTTTTTTTTTCTTTATTTTTTATTGTGATTTGGGTGAAAGTTTACAGAACAAATTCATTTTCCATACAGCAGTTCACATACACTTTGTCTCCTGATATTGACTGCAATTTCCCACAATGCAACATTTTGCTGTCTTTTTAATGATCATTTGCTTTCTTCATGGATGACCTTCTTGATGTCATCCAACGACTCATCTGGTCTTCAGTCACAGGTGTTCAATTTGTCATATCTGTTCTTCAGATGCTCTTTAAATTCAGGTGGGATATCCTCAAGGTCATATTATAGCTCTTGGGGACTTGTTTTAATTGTCTTCAGCTTCAGCTTGAACTTGCTAAAGAGCAATTATTGATCTGTTCCACAGTCAGCTCCTGGCCTTGTTTTGACTGAAAATATTGAGCTTTTTCATTGCTCTTTCCACAGATATAGTTGATCTGATCCCTGTGTATTCCATCTGCCAAGATCCACATGTATAGGCACTCTTTATGCTGTTGAAAAAAGTTATTTGTAATGAATAAGTCATTGGTCTTTCAAGATTCTATCATGCAATCTCTGGTGACATTTCTATCACCAAGCCATATTTTCCAATAACTGATTATTCTTCTTTCCAACTTTTGCAATCTAATCACCAGTAATAATCAATATCTTGATTGTATATTTAGTCAATTTTAGACAGCAGAGTTGGTAAAAATATTCAATTTAGCAGTTACATTTCTCTTTATCACTTTCTCCTCCATTTCTCTGCCATGTCCTTCTCCTTCCTCTCCTTTGTCTCTTCTTCCTTCTTTTTCACTCTTCTTATTTTCCTTTTCACTCTACCCCTCACCACTTGGGGTGTCTTAGCTGATCCTGGCCTAGGGCCCCTGGCAACTTCTTAGAGGTGTGTGACCCACGAGGGTGTGAGGCCCCTGCATTTGGTAAGGAGGAAGCAGGCCAAAGAGAGGTCTACTCAGGGCCCTTCACAGCAGCACCCAGCCTTGGTTGCTGTAACAAGTCTCTTTAGGAGACAAGAGTGAGTTGTACTGGACTTGGCAGCTTTCTTAGCCTAAAGAAAGGAGCCTTGGTGGAACAGTAGTTAATTGCTCAGCTGCTAATAGAAAGATTGGTGGTTCTAATCCACCCAGTGGCTCTGTGTGGGAGAAAGACGTTGCTTATCTGCTCCTATAAAGTTACAATTTAGGAAATCCTATGGGGCAGTTCTCTGTCACAGGGGTCACTTTTAGCTGAAATTGTCTCCACAGCACCTAACAGCAACTACCCTGGAGAAATTTCTTATTTTACCAAATGGGTTCACCAATCTGGGGTCAATTTTAACTTCAAATATTAAAGTTAAAAATTGTTAACATTTCTTCCTCTGCCAAATGAAGAGTCTTTATTCATTTATATTATTTTGGATTTTCTATATTATTTTGTCATTCTACTATTTTTTCCCACAAGTTTCACTATTTTACTGTGTCTTTTATGCTCTTGTCATGCTTTGTTTTTTCTTCTTTCCATGCTATTCTTTTAAGTTTTGTATTACATCATATTTATATAAT